ACACAATCGATAACCTTCGAAATCTAACGTTGCGATATAATTTCGAAGGTTTTCGAATTAATATAATTACTGATGTGTATGAAGTCGTACATCTTCAGATTTTTTTTTATTAAGGTGTCAAAAGACGCTAAAGAAAATTTATTATTGTTTTCATCAATAGAATCAACTATTTCATCAAATGAAAGCTCATTAACTTCGTTTGGAAACCAAGTGGTGAGTTTACTGAAACCTGAGGCTACCTTCCTTCAGGACGCTCTCTTATTACGCAGTGTTGATTCAGCACAACCAGTATAATATCGTTTTCATCCTTTTGTTTCCCATATGTTTAGTTTTCTTGCATTCTTAATAAGTTCTTCAAAACTGGTCAGTTTTAATTCTCTTAAATCTTCTATGAATTGATTATCATCCATATCAAACACAGGTTCGTCTTCGTCTTCTATCCAAACGGTCTCAAAGTCAGATTCGTCCGATATATTTGTATCAAGTTGTGACTTGTTCTTCCACTGTTTATTGATAGTTGCCAAGCAGTGTCTGGTGCGTTTGTTACATCTGGACATAATTTAAGGGAATTAATTGGAAAATAAGAAACAAATAAATTACAAGTATAAATCATCCCTTAAAATTTCTTAAAATTTCTTAAATAAATAATCAAATACCTCCTGAAAAAAAAAAACCAAAACACACGAAATAGATACGATTACAAGTGGTGAAAGATTCCATTTTCTCTTGATTTGTACAAAGGCACTTCTGAGTCTTCCTAATAAATATGTGCGTAACAGAGAAAAGTTTTTTGGCGAAGTCAAGATTCGTGTGAAAATTTTTTTTTGGCTTCCCGACAAGCATTTAATTAATTAATTCATGTGATAAATCACGTAATATACGGCCACTAAAAATCTGTTTTTCCACATGATATATAACCACAAAATTTCAGCAGTGTAATGTCTTTAGACTTTCTGCACTATATCATTAATAGAATTTACGTTGTTAATGAAAATTTCATTAGAAAACTAAGTGTTGATTTTTGTTAAACCTAGATTGCTTACTCTCTTATTATATAATATCGATTCTACAGAATTGGTATAAAATTGTTTTTATCCTTTTATTTTCATATGTCTGGTTTTCTTGTATTTTTAATAAGTTCTTCAAGCAAATTTAATTTTATTCCTCTCAATACCTTTATGAATTAATCATTAGATTTGTCTTCTAGAAAAAAGAGATCAAAGTTAAATTCATCTGATATATTTATTTCAAGTTATAACTTGTCTTTCTATCACTTATTAATAGTTGCCAAATATTGTATGGCATGTTTGCTACATCTAGTTATAATTTAAAAGAATAAATTTAGAGATGTGATAAATAAATTGTGAAACAAGTAAATTATTAATAAATTCTTCCTTAATAAGTTAAAAATAAAACTTTAAATAATTTTAAATACTTCTTAAATAAAAAATATTTACTATGTAATGAGATAGAGGTATATACAAGTAACAGAAGACTATATTATTTTAAAACAGAGATAGAATGTGTATTGGAAAAGTAAAAATTTTTGTCAAAGTTTTTTTTTTTATTTGTACAAATTTTAATTTTTTTTAATATTTATACTATGTTCCCATATGATAATTCATGTAATCTATAAACTATAAAATTTTAGCAGTGATACAATATATAATATCTTTAGACTTTTTATACCATATTGTAATATTTTAATATTTATTAAATTCAAAAAAATGAATTCATTAAAATAAACAATAAAGTTATATAAAAACTATTAGAAAAATAAAGTAAGTACAAAATATCAATATTAAAAAATATTATACTTTTACAAAATGTTAATTAATAAATTAAAATAATAAAAAAAAAGAATTTAAAATTAAAAAAAAAAAACTTTAATAAAAGAACAAAGAGAAGAACAAATAAATTATCAATTATATTATATATTTATCTACTTATTTTCCAATCTACCTTAAATCTCCTTGCATATTTAACCAAACAATTTATTTATTTATTTTTTTTATTCAACTAGTATAAGTTTTAATAATATTTTTTATATTTTATATTTAAAAACATTTAATCTTTATATATATAAAAGTAGAATTATAAATTTAAAGTATTACAAGTTAATTGTTTTAAAATAATAATAAAATCTACAAATTTTTATAATTTTCAACAATTTTGAAATCAATTTTTTAGAAATTTTTATGATACCAAATACATTTAATACTTAAAAACTAAATAAAAAAATTTTTATATAAAATTATATTGTGAAAAATGCTATAAAAAATTTTAAAAAAAATTTACAAAAAGTGAAAATAATTATGTTTTAAAAAATGTCAAAGAAATATATATGAAATGTGAAATTTGAAATATAAAATTACTAATATTTTTTGAAATATAAAAAATCTGTAATTTATAGTAGATATTTTTTTAAATTATTATTTATCCTGTAATAAATACAAAATAATATACTATATAATATTTTCTGATATATATAATACTGTACAACTAAATATTTTTATAAAATTAAAAATTTTTGTTTTTATATAAATCTTTAGTGAAATAATTTTATATGAGAAAATAAACTATCTTTACATTGATGATTTTTATTTAAAATTGAGATTATTTTATATTAATAATAATAATAATATTATTATTATTAGTAAATATAATCAACTTGTTGCTTACAAATTTACTATTAGATTTATGATTCTAATTATTTGAATCAAATTTATATAACAAGAAACAATTTTCTTCAAAAGTTACAGTTTTAAACTTTATAGTGATAGTTAAATCTTTTTAATACCAATATTCATCAAGTTATCATTGTTTAAAATCAATATATAAAGATTAATTTTTTATAACAAGAAGTAATTTTTTTATTATGATGTTTCAAAAGTTCTCATTTCAAATTCTATAATAGTAATTAAATTATTGAGATATCAAAAAGTTATTGGCATTTGATACATTGTTAATATTTAGATTTGCAAGTTTAATTTGTATACAATGAATATCAATCTTCAAATACTATAATTCATTAAAAAAAATCACTAAATATATAAAGATATGATAAAATATAAATATTTATTTGTACATTAAATTGTTCTTATTTATATATTTGTAACTTCTATAGACTTGTATTCCTTATTATTATTTCAAATTTACATTTAATAAATTTAATAAATAATAAATGGAATCTCTGTATTTCTTCTCCTGACTGAATTCAAAAGATTATAATATTGATATAATAGCAAATTATTTAAAAGAACATTATCTATTATAATCCTATTATAATCCTATAACCCTATTATAACTTCTATTATTAACCTCTATTATAACCAAGCAGGCTTAAAATCTGAATTGTAAGGAACATGCTCAGAGAATATTTCAATAAACTAATATTATATATAATTTTAATGATTAATAAAGTAATAAAATTAATAAATCACTCTAATTTATAAAAATAAAAGTAAAAAAAAAAAAACCTCTTGATCAGCCAAGATTTTTGTACCAGCAAATCGTCGATATTCATCAAAAATTGAAGTCATTGACCATTTCTGTAATTTACGAAGGCATCCTACTAAGCATCCAATTCTGTGCTATAATTATATATAATAATTATTATTAAATAATTAAAATAATACATAAGAATAATTCAAATAAAGAAAATTTGTAATAATTTACCTTTCCTTTATTACAATGAATCAACACTATAAATTATAAGGTAACATAATTGTTCATTATATCATTTATAAGAATTACAATAAACTTTTATTTTCTTTTAATTAAGGTGAAAATGTGCTTAAAATACCTGGGTGATTTCTTATATCTAAATATCAAATCATTCATATAATAAAGATTGATTTGTAAAAACCAAGAAAACTAGAAAAAAAAAGGAATTTAAAAAAAAAAAATTTGATACAAATTATTTTTAAACCTTTTAAATTATTTGTTTGACTCACCTAACACTTTTACTAGAGCACTACTAATTTCTTTTTCTTCGATTTCCATAAATGGCTCCTTTAAATTTACAAAATAATTATTGTATAATTTTATTTGAAGTATTTATTCAATAAAAAAAATTCAAAGTCTTGAATACCTTATTTCCATCAATTCTATAATGAAATATCTGAATTTTCTGTTCTTTTACAAATTGATCTAATTCCTCACGAATATCATCAGGTGAAAGATATCTATTATATTTAATAATAATAAATTCTATTATATTACCTTATAATCATATAATGAACATAATAAAATATCGTGATAAACCAACATTAAGCTCTTTAGTCCCAACTTTTTTAAAAAAGGGAAATTTTGACGATTAGGATGCCCAGAACGATAAACTCCTGGTGCCACCATCGCAAAGTTCAATGGTGGTACCATTACTTTGACTTCTTCATTGTTATTAGAATTATTGTTAGAGAAGTTGCCAAGGTTTGAAGAATTGGAGGTAATGGAAGAGGTATTCATTATTTGTCAATGGAATCTAGAATTATTCAAAACCTAATTTGATTAGGGGTACACAAGAAGATCTTATTATAAAATTATTCAACAAAAATGTTCGTAGTATCATTTTTATTTTTTTTAGACCGAATAAAGTATATATTTTAATCTTGTTAAAAATTTCGGGGAAATTGCAAATTTTTTTTTCATTGTAAAATTTTTTTTTATTTGGTTTGTAAAATAAAATTATCCATAAACTTTAATTTCAATTGGAATTGTATTTGAACAGGAGATCTTCAATTGCATCATTTTTGTGTTTGAAGGTTTTTTGTCTCTCATTATCTAATTGTAAATAATTTTTCATTGACATTTTACTGTATCTGTCAAATTGAACCACATGTTCGAATTTTCCCTTCTATAATCAGATCGCGACTGAGGCACCTCAGGTGTCAACCATTGACCAGAAATATAAAATTGGCCTATGTAGATCCTTCTAACCCTAACCCTAACTTTGGCCAGTTTTAATCTGAGTCAAGAATCGATCTGAGGCACAACATAATCAAACGATTACATGTGGAGTTTCTGGTGGAATAATCTTTGATTCATTTTGCGTAATCTCGTTTTCATCATTTAATCATTAAATTCATCATTGATTCTTTATTAATTAATAAATAAAATTTTTAAATATATTATTACATAAAATAAAGCATATTAAAATAAAATAAAGTATATTACATTAATTAAAGTAAATTACATAAAAAATGAAGTATTTAATCAGTGTTTGAAATTCAAGTCTTAAATCCTGTGCGGAATATACACAATTTAGAATTCTATATAAAAAAATTTGTGCAGATGCCTTTTTTTTTATGTGCGGAGTTTTCAAATTTTGTACTATCGCACATTCCACGTATTGAATTTCAAACACTGTATTTTTGATTCTTGTTGAACAAGTTACTCGAGACAAAAGAAACAAAAATTTTGAAATTTTGATTGTTATCATGTTCGCGCCTAACACTGGTTTAGTAAATTTTATAAAACCCTCTTTGAGCTACATATAATTAGGATGGTTAGTTTTCTTATATTGTAGAAACCATTTAAACAAAAAAAGAAATTATGAAATTGAGATCTGCATGAAGTTACACAGAACTAATTAAAACAAGTTGATCAGGTTTTCCACTGATATATCGATATGGATCATTCTTCAGATAATTCAACTACAAAAACAACAAAGTATCCACCTGGAATTGTTTTGGGAAAAGATGGAAAACCGTGTAGGGTTTGTACGGCTTTCGTAGATTGGACAAGGAGAGAGAAAAAGAAACAAAACACTATCAACAACACTAAAAACAATAATAATGATAGTAGTGAAAAGGCAAAAAAAATAGTTAGTACAGGTTCACTTGGTACGGCCATGATCAATATTGTCAATAATAACGTCAATAATGTTGATAATTTTGATAATGTTCAAGATTGTCCTCCGGATGTTGAACAACTTGGCAGAGCTACTTGGACATTCTTACATACTATGGCTGCATATTATCCCGAAGTGCCTTCTTATGAACAACAAAATTCCATGAAAAGTTTTTTATCATCATTTTCAAAATTTTATCCTTGTGAATCTTGTGCTGAACACTTTAGAGATGAAATGAAAAATAAACCTCCAAAGGTTGAAAGTCGTTGGGCTTTGGGTAGATGGTTATGTCAAATGCATAATTTGGTTAATGAAAGTTTGGGAAAAGATATTTTTAATTGTGATAAAATTGATGAAAGATGGAAAGATGGTCCACCGGATGGAAGATGTGATTAATAAAATAATTATAATAAAATAATTATAATAAAATAATAACGTTGGAAAATAGAATTTAATATTTTTTTACTTGATAAAGTCAAATTACCAAATTAATCCAATATTCAAATGAATCAAATGAATACAATAATTATTTTGCACATTTTTGAAGCTAGATTTAAAATATAACTATAACCAAAAGGTTCTATATCTGAAGTTATGATGAAAGTGTGAAAGTTGTTAAAAATAATAATAAAAACAGCAGATTCACTTTTCAAGTAAGAATCTTCGTGAGTAATCAATTGATTGACTTCATTATAAATAGAAAATTCTATTAAACAAGAAAACTAATATATATATAATGTAATCACAATAAAAATTCTTTATTATCAATCCGAAACTGAACATCACAAAATATAACATAGACAAAGATAACAAGAAAATAACTAACGATGTATACAATATATATATACATAGAATAAATTTATTGTATTAATTAAAATAAAACTTTAAGATACTTTTCCGCGTTGTTACATTTCTCTCATCACTTGATAGTGAAAATTTTCGTATATATATATAAAAAAAAAAAGAGATAAATCCTAAGTGTAACCAATAATAATTTATGAAATAAAGTGAGTGGGAATTATACTTCCAGTTTTTTCTTTTGCTATGAAAAATAATAACCATCGCATTTGTCTCCGAGATATGAATTACAACACGTGATATAAAATACCAGATTTAAGATTTCAGTCCAACCTTAAATTTTTATCTTTTTGTAAAAATGGAAACATCTACCAACAACACTACTCCAAGTACTACTACTACTAGTCAAACCTGGCGAAATAATTTAAATAATAATCCAATTTTACAAACCGTTCGACAATTTCTTTCCAAATTTCCATTAAAAACTTATAGACCTTTATGTAAAAATAACGAACTTTATGGACCAAGATTATATATGTGGGGACCAGGTTGGAAATACGGACGAAGAACTTCATTTGATCAAGAATGTTTAAAGTGGCAGGTAAAAACAATTGAATTATAAATTTTCAATTCATTAATTTTTTGATGATATAAAATAATTGATTTTAAAAATAATTTAATAATTTGATTTAATTATTTTTATTTTATTTTTTTATTTTTAATTTTTATTTTTTACAGACATATTTGAAATTTATTCAATGTGATTTTGATATTCGGGATGCAAATGAACCTTTAATGTCACCATCAGGTATCAATTTAAATTTATATATATTTTTATATAGATTTATTTGAATGAATTTTAAATAAAGTTTAATATAAGTTTAATTTAATTGATTAATGTTTAATTTTTTATTATTATTATTACCTTTATTGTTATTTTTTTTCGTAATAAGGAAAACTTCCAGTATTAATATTATCAGAAGGAGAAGTCCTCATAGACGAATTGATAAAGAATTATGTGGAAGATAATAAGGTATTTTAATCAAGTTTAATAACTTAATAAAATTTTTTAAATATTTCATAAATATTATAAATATTTCAATTAATTTTAAAATTTTTTAATCAGATTATTGTATTATTCACTTACCACAATCAATCATTTCAATAATTTCAATAATTTTAAATTATGTTATATTCTAAAGGGATCAAATAAATTAGGACAATTAAGTGAAGAACAACAAGCTGATTCTCAAGCATTTATCACATTGGCTGATACTAAATTACGACACGCACTGGTAAATCAAATATTTATACTATATTTAACTATAAATTAATCTAAATTATCTAAACTATCTAAACTATCTAAGCTATCTACTCATATCATAATCTCTATATTATTTATAATATTTATAATATTTATAATTTAGCTTTATACTCTTTGGTGTGAACCATCAAATGAATATGATACATATAAAAAATATGGTAAACATTATGCTAATCCAATAGATAAAATATTAATGTATCAAGCAAAAAATGCGGCAATTAAAGAAATGTTAATTAAAATACCGGTATTAAATAGAGAAGATGTATGTGTATTGATTATTACTTATTATTGTTATTATGGATATTATATGTATTACTTATTTATATTCAATTCTAAAATTTTAATTTTATATTTGATTTAATTAATTATATCTATATTTATTTATTTATTTATTTATTTTATTTTATTTCAGATATATCAAGAAGCATCCGAAGCATTGCAAGCACTTTCCGTAGCTTTAGGAGATAATAAATATTTCTTTGGTGAAAGGTAAATTACGTTATAGATATCATTTATTATTACTTTACGCGTTATATATTTGATTCATTATTAATACATTAATTTTTATTACAGAGTACCAACATTTATCGATGCAGTTATTTTTTCATATCTACACAATATTTTAGAATTCCCCGTTACTTCAGCAAATGATCTTAATCAATTGGTTCATAAACATAAGAATTTGGTAGAATTTACAAAGAAGATTTATATTGAATATTATGAAAAAGAATTTTGATAATTTAATCGAATCTAATCAATGATGAAATGTTTTCTTAATTTTTTATTTAAATATTTCTGAATATTGTATTTATTATATTTATTATATTTGCTGTATTTATGATTATTTCGTATCCAAAATTTTTTAATAAATCATTTTTACTGTACATTTACGCGTAGTTTGAATTCTTTATAAAACCACTTTTCCCACAAGAATTTTATTGATTTTAACGTTATACGACGAGAAACCAAATTACGTGTTACGCGATCAATTAAATCTATTAAATCTATTAAAAAAAAATAACCTTAAAATAAAGAATTAGTATTCCAAAATCGTAACTTAAATATAATATCATGAATAGGTACAGGCACTATAAAAATCAAGAACATATATTTTATAAAAAAAAAAAAAATATAATTAAAAATAATCTCCCTCTTTTTACCGGGTCCCCTAAGACCGAATGCCACTTAGGACCAAATTTTAGAAAAAAAAACAACATTATATCCTTAGAAAAAAAGTTAAAAGTAAAAAATGCGAAAATCGGTGATCCGCGTTTGTGTCACAAAATAATATTTTATGAACAGCGGCAAATACTACAATCTTCGGGAATTTGCTTTAAATTAATTAATAATTTGATAATTCAATAATTGAATACATATAGTAAAATTTTAAAATAAAAAAAATTTATTTATTTATACGTATGAAGAAAAAAAAAAAAAATCTTATGGGAATTTATTTTATAATACATTATAAATTACAGCATGAAAAAAATCCCACGAAAATAATAGATCCCTAAATGGTATATTAACAAGAGAGGAAAGTAACACCGAGAGATAAGATGATCAAGGAAACTTTAGATTATAAAAAAAGAACTCTTTCATATGATTACATAAATGTTATTAATTATTTAATGAATTGCATATTTTTCTTTTTTTCTTAAGGAAGTCCTCGGCTTTGTACGAAATTGTAAACAAACTTGTGCATGAATCATAAAAAAAAATTTTTTTTTACACTCACCTTTTTTTAATTATTTTATTGGTTTGTTTTTTTTTTTTTTTAAAAAAAAAAAAATGGGGAGGGGGGGAAATTTTTAACTGACATCGCTTTAAATGTCCCAATTATGGAAATTGTTTAGTGGAGAAAAGGATGGCATGCGCATTTTTGGTGTATCATTGAAAAAAATTGAAGAAAGGAAAAGAAAAGAAAGGAGGGAACATATTATTAATAATAATAATAAATTTTTTTTTTTTTTTATTATTTTTGTTTTATAATTTTTTATTATAATTGGTATAATTATATTCTTTTCTTTTTTTTTTATATATTATTATTATTTCAATTATATTATTTAATATTGTTAGTGGCGCTTTTTTTCATTATGACTCACTAAATCGAAAAATTTTTTTAACTGAATAATCACCAAAACAACATAAAACATTAATGTATTATGATATTATTCTTTTTAAACAACAATAATAATAAATTATCAGATGATCTTGATATGATAAGGGCTGATTTTTGTGCATATAATAATAAACATTGTTTTACATTTTGTAAACGTTACAAATCATTTTTTTGACGAATAAATGAAAAATACAAAAATTAATACAGCGTAATGTAATTAAATAATTTAATTAATAAATTATGTAATAATTTAATGTTTAACAATCAATAAGTAATAATCAATATGATATTTAATGTAATATTGAATAAACAACGTAATATTGAACAAACAACGTATGGATTATTTTGATATACAATTAAAATTTATAATAAATGATATAATATTTGAAATTTGTACGTGGGAGAAAAATGAATAAAAAGAATAATATGAATAATATAAATGGCTGGTGAAAAGCGAAAAATAAAAATGTTGTCCTCATTTTAAGACTAGTTGATTTGCGGATAAAAAATGTTCCTTGTTTTATGACTAATTGATTTGCATAGCGTCATCATTTAAAATAATTTAAATTTTGAGTTTTGAATTCACATGATTTTTATTCAATAATATTACTTTATATTTATAATTATATTCAATTTGATTCAAAAGAATTTTTACTGAATTTGGATGAATTAGATAAATTTGATGCTTCAGGAATTAAATTTTATTGGTCAAAAGAATCAATCTGATAAGATAATAAAAGAAAAATGGCGTTATTAAAATAATATTTTATTTTAAAATAAAAAATGACAAATGGGAATCTCCGATTGGAAAACGTGAATGACCTGAATAACATGACAACATAAATTTACTACATTAATACGTGACGACATGAATAATTTGAAATAAGCAATCTTTTAGTTAAACGCTTATAAAATACTAATAATAATACCAATTTTTATTCTTTCTTACCCTTTCCTTCTTCGTTCCCGAATGAATTAAACAGAAATGGCGAAATGGCAGAAAATTTTTTATTAAAAATTTTTTATTATACAATACAGGTTTATAGAGAAAATGAACAAATAAATAAAAATAATGAAAAATATTACTAAAGAAGTTAATATTATAGTTGATAACTATATAAGTGTACAGATAAAATAATTCGCACACTCTACCATCGGATAATATTTAAATAGAATGTGTTACGTGAAATAAAAAATTTAAATTTTAAATAAAGTTTCTAAAGACCGGAAATGCCAAAAGATCATAAATTCTAAATATTGTTAATTATAATAAAATAATTCTCACATTCTACCAACGAATAATATTTAAATCAGAATGTGTTACGTGAAATAGAAAAAATTAAAGTTTCTAAAGACCGGAAATTCCAAAGAACATAAATTTCTAAAGACCGTTAAATAAAAAACGCCTCAAAAATTCTAAAAAAAAACGCCTCAAAAATTCTAAAAAAAAAAACGCCTCAAATTCAAAATATTTACGTTATTCATAACTCATGTCATACAAACAATCATTGTTAAAGTTCGAGAATACTGACACAAGTTGTGAGAAATAAACAAGACGCCTCAAAATAAAAACATTCGAAACACAAAAATTGACACTAGCCTCAGCCAAAGTTGCCTCAAATTAAACTTCCAAGACTTCCAAAACTTCTTGGAACAACAAAAATGACACCAGCCTCAGCCAAAACTTAAAACTTAAATTTAAATTATAGTTACAATTTACAAAATAATAACAACAGTTACTTTTAATGGAAAATAAAATTTATAATTGCTATTATTAAATTTATCATTTTTGAATGAATTTACCCCACAAAAAAAAATCTGTTATTATACAATGTAGAGAATAAAAAAGGAAATAATTTTCTACGATTATGATAATAACAAAATTACAGTTTGTATTGTGTATATTCATATTTAGGATATTTAGAAGAACAATAATTAAAAAAAAGAACAAATAGTATGTAAAACATGTATAAAAAAAGAATACCAAGAGATTAAAAAGAATACTAAGAAATTCTTTCAATGACTTAAGTGGGTAACAACATTCACATTGGAATACGCCACTACAATTTTCAAATATATTTATCCACATACATCCCTTGTGTAATTGTTATTGTTATTATTTCTAGGAAGAATTGAAGAAAGAAAATTCGGAGAAACAAGGAATTGATAAAATAGTTATTGTTTTACTTTTTTTGTAAGGTTATTCAAAAAAAATTGTTGATTTACTTCCGAAATTAATTTTTTTATTTTTTAAATAAAAATTTTTTTTTTTTTAATTTAGTTATTAATTCAATGAACGGAAATTACTTTAAAAAGATAAATTTCTTCAAAAAATGTAAAAGTTATTTTATTTATTTCTCCGAGTAAAAAAAAAAAAATATGTAAAAAACATGTAAAATATGCAAATGTGTTTGAAGATTAGTTTCTCTGAGTCATCCTGAGTCAAAAAAAGGATAAGTCAGTCAGTTAATGAGTTTATTGAGTTGGTAAACAACACGATGATACAATAATTCTGATTTCATGAATGCGCACTTTAACTTTCATATGTTGTTTAAATATATTACTAATATAAATTAATAATATAAATTATTAATATATTATTTTGAAAAAAACATGATCAGAAAAAAAAAAAAAGTTTTCGTGAGTAAAACAGGTATATAAAGGGTAGGATTTCTGGGTCTAACGATTTCTCAACAACTTCAAAAAAATAAAAAAAATAAAATTTATACTCTTAAATAAATTTATTTATTTTTCGAACAAACAAAATTAAAAACAAAATCTCTCTGCATAATTTTTTTCTCTACAATTTTATTCTCCACAATTTATTTTTTTAGTTATTAAATTTTTTTTTTCTCACACAACTTTTTTTTACACTTTATTATTTCTTTATAATATCGAAATGACTACTTTGGGTCAACAATTATTTGGTTCTTATTTCTCTTATCGAAAAGTAAATACAGATGAAAAGAGAGAGGAGGAAGTTAAAAAAATTCAAAATATTCAAGAGGTTGAAAGAAGGACTCCTTATATTCCTCCCGAAATTATTAAAATGATCCTTAATTGTTTAAAGGATGATAAAAAAACTCTCGCTGCTTGTTCTTTAGTTAATCGTACATTTTATCTTCATACCATTCCTATATTATATAATACAATTTCTTTTACTTTCCCTTTTACATTTACTTCTTTTGCAAATGTTACTCATTATCATCGTACTACTGAATGTTTCTCATTCATTCGTCATTTGGACTTTTCCAGTTTTTCTACATGTGGCTTACAAAAAAGCTCCGCCACAATTCAAAATGTGGTCACTCCTGATATTCTTATCAATATTTTATTATCTTGTCAAGAATTGGAAACTTTCTCTATATCCGAAACATTGGAATCAACTATCACCTTTGATGTATTAAAAACTCTTTTCATCAATTGTAAAAATCTTAAAACTTTAGATTTTTGTGGATGCTCTAGTAAACAATTTGGTGCAGCATTTAATGAACTCGCGGAATTTTTGGGAAAAGTTAAAATAATTCAAAATTATATTGGAGAAGATTATTATGGTGGTGATAATGATAATTATGATAATAATGAAACCAATTTAATTAAATATACATTTCAAAGAAGTGATAAATCAAAATTAATTAATTTAACTAATTTAAAACGTCTCTCATTTCATGAATGTCCAGTAATTTCTGAAATTAATACAATTATTCCAATACTTTCTCATACTCCAAATCTTACACATTTAGATTTTGGAGGTTGTTCAATTAGTGATATAACATTAAATTTTCTTAGTACAGAAACGAATATCCCCAAAACTTTAAAACATTTATTATTAGCAAATTGTAAAAACATTTCATCTGAATCTATAGCAAAATTCGCTTCTCAATGTCATAAATTAGAAACACTTAATCTTTATAGTAAAAGAAATATTTCTTCTACTATAAATGAATATGATCTTATTACAATTCTTAGTTCACCTTGCGCTAAAAAATTACAAAATCTTGACATTGGAGCATCACAAGTAACACCACGTGTTTTATTAGCAATTCAACAAAATTGTTCATCACTCGTAAATTTAGGAATTGCCAAAGCACCAATTCAATCTTTAAATCATATAACCGAATTTTTAACAAATATGACAAATCTTCAATATATTGATCTTACATCAATTCCTTGTTTCAATGTACTTAATATTTATAGTTTAATTAATTCTTTAAACAAAAATCAACAAAATCAAATTCATACAATAGAATTGAATGAATCATTACTTAAAAAATTAACCAACATTAATGATTGTTGGAGAAAGATTGAAGAAAATTATACACGAAGATTGTATTATTCTCGAATGACACAAAAACAAAGACCAGATTTAGTTCATCCAAGAAAATTAGATATTGCGGATTGTGGACCAGAAAGAATTAGTAAAATCTTTCAATATTATAGTTATGGAGTATAACTACTTTTAATCACTAGTTTTGCTGGTCTACTAGTTTACTATTTTTTGTTAACATGTGTAAAATATTTTTAATTAAATACAATTTTTTTTTTATTGTCATTCATTTTAATTTAAATTTTATATATAAATATAATATCACAAACATTATACATTATTCATACAAATTAATTTTTAATTTTTTAATATATATTATTGATAATATATATATTTTCCCAAAGATAGAAATCAAATTAATTTTTAATTTTTTAATATATATTATTGATAATATATATTTTTTTTCCTAAAGATAGAAATCAGATTAATTGGCGAGACCAATAATTGATTAAAAACCATATGATTTTATTTGTACTGTAAATATTTTCTTTAAACAATTTTTTTTATGACAATTTAATCGCATAACCACATAATAAAAAAAGAAATTTATACATGCGTGGTATAATAATAAATCATGTGTATTTCGAAATGTATTATTTTATAATTAATTCTCATTTGTGATTACGAGTTATTTTACGTGATAATCCTAAGGAGAATTCTTTTTTATATTGTTAATCGTGAAAATCTAATCTAGATTTCGTTCTCTATTTTAATCATATAATTAAATCTTTATGACGGTAATTTCTTTATTATAAGTGGTTTCAAGTATCAATTAGGATATATTTATTTTTTTATTGTATAAGGTTTCATAGAAATTTATTATAAAAAAAAAAAATATAATATATTTTTTTTTTCCAGTAATTTAACGAAATCATTCTAGTTTCTTTAAACAATTTTTTATGACACAATTTAATCGATTTAATCGCATAAACATATAATAAAAAAGAAATATATATGTGTGTATAATTCATGTGAATATCAAAGTGCATTTCAAAGTGTGTTATTATATAATTTAATTCTTATTTCTTATTACGAGTTATTTTATCAGATACGACAATTCTAAGGAGAATTTTTTTTATTATATTTGTTGATCGTCATATAACGTTATAAAAACGTAATATAACCAAATGCATTTATTTATTTTAATTTTAAATTAGAATTTTTAATTAATTAAAAATTTTAATTTTAATTTTAAAATTAATTAAAAATTTTAATTTAATTTTTAAATTTAAATTCTTTATTTCGGGTATTTTATAAAATTATAATTGGTCAAAAAGAGCATCACCTGATCGAAATAGGAGGGAAAAAATGAGATAAAAATTTTTTTAAAAAAAAAAAATAAATAGCGCAAACTTTTATTATAAGAATTTGCTTTTTGCTTTGAGCTATTAATAAAAGTTGCTCAGATTGATTTCTACATATATTTATAAAGTTTTAATATATATTTATAAGTTAATTAAGGCTACGGACGTCGCGGACGCGGACCTTGGACAGATAAAAAAAAAAACCCCCTTGGACATGTAAAATGTACAATGATGCAATATTTCCTGTAATCCAAAGAAATGATAATAGGAAATATATTTAATAGACGTATAGAATTTGACAAGCATTGTCGTGTCGAAGAAAAAATGGGACGATATTAATTGGTTCTCTAATAAAAAAATAGGTAACAGAATCAATATTTTCTGTAAATTCAAAAAGAAATAGGAAGATATTTAATAGGACATATAGAATTTGGTAAGATAAACAAGAATCTTACGATACTAAAAACAGTATTGATATACAAAAAAATATATCGCATGATGACTAATGAACAATGAAATTTCAAAAAAAAGTAGATCCTACACAAAAATATCGAAAATTAAATAATTATGGTCACAATGACTTCATTGAAAAAAATAAGTATTTAAATGATCGAATTCAAATAACTTGTTAAGGAAAAAAAAAAACTTCTTAAATTTTATTACGTAATAATTCTTAAGTTTCGTAATAAAATTGAATTCTCGTTGAATAAATTCTCGTATTAATAATTCACGTTTATAATTCTCTTTTATATTTATCGTTTTTTAAATGAAGAGAAAGGCAATGACTTCAGATCATTTACCACAAAAACATCGTCGCAGAGCAAGCGTTTACGCAATTCCTCAGACCGTTTACTTAGGTTTAGAAATTGAATACAATGAAAGAACTAAAAAAGTTGACTTTGCTATTTGCGTACATGATGGATCTTATGCTGTCGGTTATGACCTTTCATCGGTTGATATAGATATTGAAGCGGCAAAAAAAGATACTAGTATTATAGAAAAAAAAATGGATTTTATACTTTCATATGTTCGTGATAGCGCTGCGCAACAAAATTTTAAAATTAATGCTGTTGGTTTGGGAGTTCGTATCAGGACAAATCATAATGGTGAAACAAAGGGAAAATTTAAAGGTTTATTAGCGGATGTATTAATTTTAGCATCAAAGATTTGGTTGGAACTTGATGCAGTACCTTTTATTTTTCGTACCAATGGTAAATCCTTGGATGAACGTGCTAGTTCAGCTGTAAGGAAAACTGTCGTCTGGTAAATAAAATAATTAATTTTAATTAACCGTTTTTACCTTATTAACTAACTAACTAACTAACTAACTAACTAACTAACTAACTAACTAACTAACTAAATAACTCAAAATCTATTTAATTTGATAATTTTTTAGGATGAGTCCACAAATTCCTGGATCAATTCCAAGAATTTCTGTTGGATTTCGTCATGAAGTTGAAGTTGATTTAAAAGGAATAATTAAATTAGTGGATTTATCTCATTATCAAAAAACTGTTATTCCGGAAACATGGAAAACATTAATGGAAATTACTAACGATCTCAAATCCAGAAAAATTAAAGCTTCATTCTTTAATGCAACACCTCAAGGAGGTGGAGGTAAAAAAAAAATCTCATTATTTTGAATCATTATTTATTATTATCATTTTATTTTTTTTTTAAAAAATCCAACGGAATTTATTATTATCATTTGTATTTAATCATTATTTTTATATTTATATTTTTATATATATATATATATTTTAGTTGCACTTATGCGACATGCTTTAATAAGATTATGTAATTTATTAAATTTGGATATACATTGGTTTGTGGTTAAACCAAAACCTGAAATTTTTGATATTACGAAAAGAAAGTTTCATAATGTTTTACAAGTAAATAATTTATTACATTTCATGTTATTTATTTTAATAATTAATTTGATAATTAATTTAATATTAAATTTAAATAATTTATTTTAAATTTAATAATTTTATTTAGGGAGTAGCACCACCAGAGACAAGGTTAACTCAAGAAGATAAGGATTTATTTATAACTTGGTCGAATGATAATGCTGAAAAGTTTTGGTCGGATGCTGAAGGTCCGCTTAAAACTAGTGATGTTATTATAATTGATGACCCTCAAGGTAAAAATATTTATAACATTAATTTAAATAATTATTTTTCAATTTTAATAAATAAATATCAAAGTATTGAAAATTTAAAATTATTAACCTTAAAAAATTTTAGTATGTGGAATTATTCCTTACATTAAAAAGGTGAATCCAACGTGTAAAATTATTTATCGCAGTCACATCGAAAGTAAGCATTTAATCTTTTTTTATAATCTTTTCATAATCATTTTTATTTTATTTTTATTTTTTTAAACTTTTCGGATTTTCATAAATTAGTTTGCGCGGATTTAATTCGTGATAATCCAAATGGACCACAAGCAGAAACATGGGATTTCCTTTGGGGTTTCATTTCTCAATGTGATCTATTTATTTCTCATCCTATTAAAAATTTCATCCCTGATAGTGTACCAAAGGAAAAGGTAATTATTTATATATATATTTGATTTATCTCTTTAATAACTTTTTTAACAAATATTTTTTTTTATTATTCTTAAAAAAGGTTGTTCTTCTTCCAGCTTCCACAGATCCACTTGATGGATTAAATAAAGATTTAAAGTTATCCGACATGCATTTCTATAGATCAATTTATAATCGATTCTCGATAGATCAATGTGGTATCGAAATAAATTTTAACCGACCATATATTATACAAGTTGCTAGATTTGATCCTAGTAAAGGTAATTTATTTAATTTTAAATTTTTTAATTTTAAATTTTATTATTTTTTATTCACTTTTTATTTTATTTTATTTTATTTTTTTTTTTAATTACATTAGGAATTCCATTAGTAATTCAATCATTCAGTCTTTTACGTAAAAAATTACAAGATGCTGGATGGTATTTAGATGAAATGCCATCTTTAATAATTTGTGGTGCTGGTAGTGTAGATGATCCAGATGGTACCCCAATTTATGAACAGATAAATACAATATTACAAACACCTGAATATGCCGATATTTCAGATGATGTATCAACAGTTCGTTTACCTCCCTGTGATCAAATATTTAATACAATGTTGAGATGTTCACATGTTGCATTACAACTTAGTACCAGGGAAGGGTTTGAAGTTAAGGTTACTGAGGCTTTAGGTAAAGGTATTCCAGTTGTCGCCTTTAAAGCAGGTATGAATATTTTTTAAATTTATAAGTTTATTTCTTATATTTATATTTATATATATTTATATAATTAATTATTTTTATTTATTTTTTATTTATTATTCGTGATTACTCCGATTTTGATTATTGTAGGAGGTATTCCATTACAAATAGAACATGGTGAAACCGGATTCTTAGTTGAAATTGGAGACGTAGATAAAGTAGCAGAATATTTATTTACATTATTTACAGATAAACAACTTTACGAGAGAATGTCTCTAGCGGCGAAATCTAAATTAAATGAACAATATTTCACTGTATTTCAAACATTAAATTGGTTATATTTGATTAATCAATTTTCCGCAAGAAGACGTTTGGAAATGGGTATGGAAACAGAACGTGAATTATTAACAAAGGAATTTATTGGAAATGAGAAATGGGTAAAAGATATATGGTCAAAGCAATATAAATTTATTGAAAATAAGGTATGTATCATTATTATTATTTTATATTATTTTGATGTATATGTTTATTTCTTTTTTTAATTAATGTTTAAATTTTTATTTCCTTTATAGTCTCTTGATAACTTTATCAGTCACACAATTTCAAATTCTTAGAATTATAATAATAGAATTATTAGAATTATAATAAATTTTATCACATATTCTTAAATTATTCATCATTACTTTTTATTTATTAAATTCCTTGACTTTTTAAATTTTATTCATTACTGTATTTGTATTTTATTTTGTAATAAATTTTTAAATACATCTTTGTATTTTTATATTATTATACTTTAATATAAAGATCATGATTTTGGATATTGATAAAAAAATATTTTATTATAAAATTACAATATTAACTCGTTATCTTCTCGAAGATGTACCATAACTACAACTAAACCATTGATGTTGTCTTGATCAATGTCTACGAATTCATTATAAATAGAAAAATCTATCGAACATGAAATAAAATATTTGCTCTTATTAAACGAAAACTTTATAAATTTCTTTTCCGCGTGTAAAATATTGATTGCTTGATAATTAATATTCTTCTTTAATCTACCTATAGATAAAAAAAAAACCCCCCTCTTTAATATTTTCCATAAAAATAATTAAAAGATACCTTAAATCTAATTGTGTTCTTGTTCGTTCTTCGTTCTTTCGTTCGTACTAGCTCTGGTAGTCAGACAACACAAAGACCCAAAATCTGTTTAAATAGTATAATAAAGTTGGATAGCTGCATTGTTATTCTTCATTATGGGCATTCGTATCTCATTGCGCTGAAATAGGTTATGACCAAAGAAGAATAAGAGAAAAAATTCGTAATTTTATAAAAAGTTTGTGGTGGGACAACATTGTGACACGAAAAATCTTAATGATTACACACTTGGCGCGGTTGAACATGTGCATTGAATCAATTATCCGATTGAAAGCTCTTTTTGACGAAATATTTATAATCCGTTCACGACCGACATCATTGATATATGGCGTAGTAAGTCGTGGTAATAAATGTATGATAATATTTTTGCGCAGTATTAAATCAATCATCCGATTGTAGAATTCATTTGCAAATAGAAAATATCAAAATAACTATCTTATAATTAACAATATATCTGGCTCTTTTGAAAAACAAAGTTTGGCGAAGTATTATAATTATAATTCGTTCAAACGACCGACATCATTGATATATGGTGTAGTAAGTCGTAGACCGATAGAAAAATATTTTTTTTATAGACATTAATAGATGATAACAGTTGGTATTAAGCAATTTTTGTTACGCAAATTTATATTTTTTTATTGATTTATTCTTGTAATGGCAATGTTAACAAAAAAAATATAATAATAAGTCCTTTACTTTGACAATATTTTTTTTGCATACTTGCTTTTTAATTGAAATAGTTAACTCCTTGGGTGTTACTGTTTCCAGTGTCACGAAATTTGTGGTTTGTAATATTAAAATATTAAACCAATTTAAATGAATAAATGGTTGAAGCTGTACTGATTTTAACAAGAATTTCCAAAAGCCATAATTGAGACATAAGATCTTGAATTCCTTTCTTTGCATATGCAATAAAAAGTGTTTTCATGACGTAAATGATGATTTTTTTATTATTAATTAATAATATGATATTAATTAAATTACACAAGATCAAAAAAATACAAAATTACCCGTTACATGTAAACAATTATGCAAGTCAATAGTTTTACGAAAAGGTATAAAAATCGCCTAAAAATAAATTTTCAACCATTTATGTTTTATAATCAAAAAAAAAAAATGAATACACCAACAAAATTCGACTTCAAAAATTATGAATTCTGTTCTGATTTTAGCATTTTTGTCATAAATGATGAAAATTCTATAATTGGACCAAAAGAATACAAAGTACATCGATTCATTTTATCTCAACAATCTCAATACTTTAAGGTTCTTTTTGAATCTTCCCAAAACTTTACAGAACATAAATCAAAGTCTGTCACTATTAAACTTAAGGATCCATATAATGTATTTCCATCAATTTTGAATTATATGTATACTGGTTATATTTCCATGAATCATAAAACTTTGATTTCAATATTAACCATCGCAGATAGATTCGTCATTGAGAAACTTTTGGGCCATGTGTTTATATATTTTTATGATCTTTCGATTTTAGTAAATAATTTCTTAGGAGATAAAAATAAAAAAACAATAATAAATAAAGGTAACGATAACAATTTCCCAATTATTCCACCCGAAGAAATTCTTTCAGTCTATGCAGAATTCCAAGATTCTGGTTTTGAGAATATAATTTCGGATAGGTTCCTTGCAATTTCATTTGATAAACTTTGGGAACTTGATCCTGATATATTTCCTCCTCAAAGATTAGAACGTATCTTAAAATCCGAATTTGCGAAATTCAAAAGTGAAGACCAGAAATTATCAATCGTCAAAAAAATTGTTGAAGAATATTATGGTGAAGATGGATATGATATAGAAATTGAAGAAAGGTGGAATTTAATTACTTTAAATTCAGTTTTACCATACCCATTGGAAAAAGAAGAAGGAGATGAAGGGGAATTTCAAGAAATAAAGGCAATTGAAGGAGTTAGTGAAAGACTTAAACGAAACGCCAAAATATACAATTTGTTCCAATTAGTAGATTTTTCTTTGTTAAATCCAGATTCTTGGGCTGATGCTTTTGCTGATAAAATGATACCAAACGAACTGGTTGTTCAAGGATTATATAAAGTGTTAAAAGATGATACACAGAATAATGAAACTAATATTAAGTAATAAATAATTTAAATATTTTGATTTTTTATTGTTCATAACGCGTAATCATTATAATGATTTATTTTTTCTTTAATTTTTAGGAGAAATTTTTTGGATTTTCTAGATTCAGAAAATGTCTCAAGTTCATCATCTACTTTTTCAGATGAAGAGATTAATGATGATTCACTAGATTTTATTTTAACTTTATCGTCATTAATTTCTTCCACTTCCTCCGCCTCTTCTACCACTTCCACCTCTTCCACCTCTTCCACCTCTTCCACCTCTTCCACCTCCACCTCTTCCACCCCTTCCACCTCTTCCACCTCTTCCACCTCCACCTCCACCTCTTCCACTACCACTTCCACTACCACTTCCACCACCACTTCCACCATCGCCACCCCCGCCTCCTCCACCAGCGCCACTCCCGCCACCACCACCTCCTCCCCTACCTCCTTATCCACCTCCTATAAAAAATCCCAATTTACACCACCTTCCACCATAGAATATTTTGATCAATTTTCTTTCGAAATAAAATCCGGTTTTAATGACATTACAATTCATATAAATGATAATAAAACTTATGAATTTCATAAGATCATATTATCAAAAGAATCAGAATTTTTTTGTCAACTTTTCTCTTCTCAACAAATAACCCATTGGATATTTCCTTGGGATTCACTTCACCCAGATTTATCCGTCGGTTTTATTTCTATGATTCACCTCCTTTACGATCCAAATTCAATTACAATTTTAAATAATATAAATAATAAACCTAATGATATTAAATTTACAAATATAATGATCCCCATTTTGACTTCTTCAATGTTAACTCGTAGTCTTAATATTATTTCCAAATGTTTTCAAGATATTTACAAACAAAATTATTTGAATTTCATATTATTAGGTTGTGGAAAATTGGATGATAATCTATCAAAGTTGAGTGAACATCAAAAATTTATTAGAAAATTTGTAATAGAAATTTTATCCATGAAATTCTTAAAATTTCATGATATTATTGTATCATCTAAATATGATAGTAATAATAATTTAAAATGCAAAGATATTTCGAAAGATTTCATTAAAGAAATATTGGAGAAGATCATATCGAAAGAAAGATTGACCGATGCAACAGAAACATTAAAGATTTCATTATTTAATAACGTTTTTGAAGAATGGTTTCCAAACACCAATCCCAAATTCATCACTTTTAGAAATTATTATAATACTGAAATATTATTAATAAGGAAACAACAACAAAAGAATGAACTTAATGAAATCAGACATTGGATTACCAGATATATTGATCATAAAAAATTAAAAATTTGTGATATTAAAACCCTCTCAAAAAAATGGTGGATGCCTTCAGATCTGTTCAATGCTTGGTTAGTAGAATTAGCCAAAGAGAAAATAAATACCACCAGAGAACCAATTATAAATGCCATATGATAATCAAAATATTAAAAAAAGTACAGTAATTTTTTTTTTTGAATCAGTTTATTATACAAGTTATACAAAGAAACAAATATCGAAACCAAAAAAAAAAAAATAAAATAAATATAATAATATAATAAAAATAAAAATAAAAACAAAATCAAAATCAAAATAATATAATAATAATAATAATAATAATAATAATAATAATAATAATAATAATAAATCTAATTTTCTACAAATTAAATTCATTTCAAATAATAAAATTTTATTTTATCAATATAATATTCATTTTGTATTATAGAACTAGGAATTAAAGAGAAAAAAATTTTAATTATAGACATGTACTTTTTTATTTTTTTGCGTTTAGCTTGAAATAATAGTGGTCTAAAATGTATATAAATTTCATAAGTTATTTTGTTTTATAAATATTTTTAGATGAATTAATAAAATTTAAATTTCGAACTTTTTTTTTTTCATCTTGAAGCGTTAAAAAAATTTACTCTCTTTCATGAATCTTAACCGAGAGGAAATTATTTCAAAACTACGAGATTTACAAAAAATTTTTTTTATAAAAAAATGATAAATGATGAAATGAAAATCAAATAATGCAAAATAAAGCACGAAGGAAGAGTAACAATTTTAGCTACTATATTATTAATGACTAAGACACATTAATCGTTCGGCATCCTTTTAACAATCGATAACTCAATCCTTTTTTTTGATGGGGAGCATTATTAATTAAATGAAGGATCCAATAATCTTTCAATTGCTGCATTAACATTTCCTGAACACATTTGTAATGCACGAATATTTCTCTGAGGATCATAAAATCCCATCTCGTTCAGCTGTTGAAGTTGAACTTGATATCTTTCTTCTGGAGGTACCTGTGAAGTTTGTGTTTGCGGCATACCTCCAAGAGCTCCCCAAAATAATGATGGGTCAAATTGTGGCATAGTTGGTGGTTGCGTTTGATTATTTCCTGTACCAGCTCCAGCAGCAGCAAGAAAGTTAAATAATGGATTATTCAAAGGTGTAGTATTAGATGCTGAGGTTGTATTGGGTGCAGAAGTTGTATTATTATTAGAAGTATCTGTAGTTGATCTAGTAGTATCATTAGTGGTACCGGTTGATGAAGGGTTGGTATTGGTGTTGGTGTTGGGATTAGTGGTCGGAGTATTTAATCCTTGAGTACCTGGGAACATACCGGGAGTTCCCATCATTGAATGCATAGCAGCCATATTTCGAAGTGTTTCAGGATTTGACATAAAGGATTGGAATAAAGGGTCTTGCATCATTTGTCTAAGTTGAGGTGCTATTTGTGAGAGTTGAGGATTCAAGGAAATCATATTTTCAACGAACGTTGGATCTTGAAGCATTTGTTGCATGTATTGCATCACAGCTGGATTTTGAAGAATTTGTTCCATCATCGGGTTTGGATTTTGTAAACCTCCAAAGGGGTTGGCGCCAAATTGACCTTGATTTAAGCCTCCGAATGCTCCGAATGCTCCTGCTCCAAAAAGATCTACTCCAGGTTGAGGAGGAGTAGTTGTTTGTGTTGTTTGAGTATTCTCGGTCGTAGGAGATCGTGGTTGTGTTTGAGCTGTCGATGATTGGGAAGAATCTAAATCAATAATGTCAAATAATGTCAATAATGTCATTAATGGTTAATAAATATCAATAATTTAAAAAAAGCTATAGGAAAAAATCTCGTAATAATTTTCAAATTGGGATTAAGATCTCGATGGAAGATATAAACATGCTTTTGGAACTAGAAAGTCGAATATTTTTATAAAAAAAAAAATTACGTGTATTAAAAATGCTTACCTCTCATTACTTGCCCCCTCACCATGTGAACAGTATGGCCATCAGCGATCTTGTAAGTTTCAAGTGTGTCAATATCTTTTAAAACTCTTCCAGAGAATATTAACCTCTGCTTTTCTACTTCCGTTTCACTTTTTTCGGCAATGGCCTTTTTGAAATCTAGAACAGTTTTAGAAGTATCTATTGTTACACTATACTTTTGATCATTAGAACATTTGACGGTGACAGTTATTTCAGGCATTTTGAGTAAAGAGTTTTATTTCAACTCATCTATTGATGAGAGGTATTTGAGGGTATTTGTATATTCCACGCCACGTAAGCAATTGTGACATCGTGACGTACACAGTTCAATTTTAAAACAGAAAGTTATAATCGGTAGAAAGTTCTCGAATAATCTTATATCAAAAAAAAATTATTTTTTTGAATTTATAAAAATGCGAATATAATAATTCAATCATTACAACACTTTTATTCCGTATACTAATTTTTTAATTAAAATTTTTTGGTTAACCATTCTTCCCACTTTCCTAAAGTCCAACTAGATTGGATGCTATCATCAATGATTCCATCCCATAAAACTGTGGGCGAAACATGAATTCCTATTTAAAATATTTAATTATATATATATAATCCAATGAAAAAAAAAATTAAATGATAAAAAATTTTCGCGTCTACGCATCCACATTTGTTACATTTGTATTTTGCTTACCATTTTGACGACCAAGCTTAATGTGCCATTTAAGATCGGGAGTTAATTGATTTCCTTGATTGGTAGCTTTAATGTTGGAATCGACAGACTTAATATTAACTAAAGAAAGAAATTGATCAGAAGAAATTCCAATTGATCCAGCAAGTTTCGCCAAGGATTGGTAAATTTGTTCACGATTAAGATTTTGAACTGATTCATCAAAGTAACTGAATTAATATAAAATTAGTCATCACTTCTTGTTTTAAGAAGAAACGAACATCATTGATAACGTACTCCTTTTGTGCTTCAAAAAGCTTGTCCGAAAATTTATAAAAGCTCTTTTGATCTATTCTTTCAACTGCCAATCCAGCCTTAAGAGAATAAAAATATGAATTATTTTAAAGTTCATCAAAATTCATCAAAATTTATTATTTTATTGTTGTGGAAAAAAATCTTTACCTCATGAACGAGAGTTGAGGATGGATGCCAAGGTTGAATTTGCTGACGGAATATAAACTGAATTTTTCCAGAATACTTTTGCTCAATATAGGGAAAAACTTCCTATAATAATATTAAACACGTTCTAATTTATTATAACACGTAAAGATCAATCAATTCATTAATCCATCAATATTATCTCTACACACATTTTGTAATGTTCTAAACATTCTACAAGAAAATGGGCACTAATTTAATTTAAAATAATAATAATGATTATTAATTTTTTAAAAATTTTTTTTTTTCGCAATAAATTTTTAATTTTTATCCACATACCACATAGTCTAAGTACGCCTCCAAAACATGAGGAGCAGTAATCGAGCCCCATCGGTGACCTAGAAATAATGAAAAAATAATTATTAAATAATTAATTTTAATTTTAAACAAAAAAAAAAAATACAATTATAAACCTGCAAATTGAGGAGCAAGAGCCATTTTTTAAAGAACAGATAATTTTCAGCCTACATTTAAAAAATTATTTCATTACTACCTAACTGATATAACCAAAACAGTTACATTCCCACGCCAGTTATTAAACACGTGAATCCTCGTACTTGGTTTCTACCTTAATATTAAGTCAATGGAAGAAGAAGACGGAGCTACTAACAGTAAGTTCATGTAAAAACTATCAAGATTGTTACAAAAATTACATAAATTATATAAAGTACATAAAGTAAGGGAATATTACTGAGTAAATTTTTTTTTTTACTTGGCATTATTTATAGATGAACTTCTCTTGGTTGCAGCTAAACAAGATTCAGAAGATATTCTTGAAGACATATTTACTCAACCTGACACTTATGATATAAACTATGCTGATAGTATAGGAAACACCGCTCTTCATTACGCGTGCTTATCAATTTATTTGTCTTTTTTAATGGATAACGATATAAAGCAATTTCTAAATTCAAAAAAATTTTTTTTTCTTTGAATTAGTGCTCAATATGGTTCTCTATCTGCTCTTGAATTAATCTTACAACAACCTAATGTTAATATCGATGCTCGGAATCGTTTATTGCAGGAAACTCCCTTGCATAAAGCAGTTCAATATACTGATGATCCATCGGTTTCTTATGAAATTGGTATGTTCAGTATTAAATGAAAATATTATTATGTATCTTTAATATTTTATTGAAAAATATTTCTTCCGATTTATTTTTCGCAGTACAGCTTTTGATTGATTATGGTGCGGATCCGAGGTAAGTTTTAATAATTTCTGTAAATTCTCATTTATTTATTAAAGGTCAAATATTAATATATTTAAATGAATTTGTATAGAATACAAAATAAGAATAGGCAAACTCCAATTCGACTAGTTGATTCTGGTAATCAAGAATTAAAGAGTTTGCTTCAAAAAGCAACTTTAGCATTACAAGTGGTAAATTTTTATATAAAATATAGATATTTATATTATTTATATCATTTATTATTATTATTATTTTTTCCTTAAAAAAAATTTTAATTTAATTCCTTTTTATTTCTCTTATTATTATTATAAAGGATGCTAGAGACATTGCAAATGATGATTTTGAAGGTGATGAGGATGAAGAAGATCTAACTGACTGAAATATTATACAACATTATATATTTAATATTTATATATTTAATCACATATTGTGAAATTTTGTATTATTGAAAAATAGATGTTTAAATCTTGGGAAATTTATTACATTTATAAAAAAGTTCAATAATAAAAATTGGTTTTTTTTTGTTTTTTTTTTCGGAAGTCATTTTTCAATTCATTGGCGATAACTCGATGAATATCGATGTTAGAAAGGTGACTAAACTTCGATTATGAAGCCAGAGATCAGATCTTTCGAATAGTCTTTGGAACATCTCGCTCCTTGTTACGAAAATCCGGTTCAAAGTTCGCGGATAACATTAACTTCTGAATTTCTGGGTAATTCTGAAGTTGGCCTGTATAATTTCCGAATTCGAATATACATATCATTGTTTTAACTTGATTTGTTAAATACCGCTGTTGTACTAAATTAAATTTTCTAAAAAAGTTAATGAAATGTAGGGACATTTTTTTTTGTCACTAGACGTTCTAGGCACGTGGTTTATTAATTTATTTTTCTAAAAAGAGTACAAAGAATTTTTTTTTTGAGGTTACAAATAAATTATCTAACTACAAAATCCACCCAGTCTGAAATAATTTAATTAAATGTTTTAAATTTAATAAAATATTTATTTATTATTATTACATAAAGTAACCGTTTAAATATTGTGATTTTCATCTCACATACGAGCGAAGAAAATAAAAAGAAGAGTCAAGAGGACCATAAAACCGCCATTAATCGTTGGCGTAGGAAGAGCTGCGGCAGCAGTTAAAATGTTACCTGTGGTAGAAGAACTAGCAGAACTGGTTGCGCCTGCTGTCGTGGATGTAATAGTAGAACTAGTAGTAGTCGTATTATATTTTTTGGGATCAGTAGCAGTACAATTCTTTTGACAACCGTCAATACAAGTTTGATCTGCAGCTGTACATTTTTCTGTACAATCTCTGACATCATACGTACATTGAAAGTATGGTATGGTCTGAGTGTATTCTAAAAAAAAAAATTATTTTATGTGTGAATTTTGTGGTTTCCCTAATTATTCTAATTATTATATTATTATTATTATTATTATTATTATTATTATTATTATTATTATTATTATTATTATTATTATTATTATT